GTTTTATCCCGCAATCCATGAACCAGTTTAGTAGCCCTTCTCTGAACCCTCTCTAAGGTATCAATATCCTTCTGAAGATACGGTCTCCAGTACTGTGTACAATACTCCAAGTGAGGTCTCACCAGTGTTCTGTACAATGGCATGAGCACTTCCCTCTTTCTACTGTTAATACCTCTCCCTATACAACCAAGCATTCTGCTAGCATTTCCTGCTGCTCTATTACTATTACTGTTAAGGAAATAATCTTGAGAAAGAGTGAAATATTTAGGAGAGGAGGTCCGAGATATCTGTATATTTTGTACAAAAAAAATATAAAAATAAATAAATAATAATAAGTCATGAAATAGCTTAATTATTAGCATATTAAAACAGAAGATAAATTGACGGGCCAAGTATTCAATAGCAAGTCACTTATCAACATTACTTACCAAGTGTAATGTCTGGAAGTATTTATTGGCTCTTACAATAGCAAGAGATAACCAGCAGTAACAGCAAAAATATTCATCTCGTTTTACAGTGTGTTTCTTCCTATTTGTATAGAAATAGTTAATGATGTTTCATTATTACCCTTCACCATGACCCCAGTATACAGGGTCATTTTTAATCAAAATTATAATTACTTACCTTGTGTAAATGCTATTTGAAATATATTATGCAACCATTTTTCTGAACTCATTTATTAACTTACAGATAGAATAAAAATTAATTAGCTATTATAGATTAGGAATTCCATAGGCAAAAGCTGTGAATTAATGAATAATTCCATAAATAGCAATGACTAATTAAAATATTGAAGGCCATTTTTTTATTTTCTAATTTCTCCAGATTTTTATTTTTTTTTAATGGAAATGTCTCTATTGTTTCTATTTAACTAGACAAGAGTAGTAAAAACACTCAAACACATTATCAAGCACACTCAAACACACACACAAACACACACACACACACACACATATAGATGTACTGTCAATAGAATTTTGCGTTGATAAAAGTCTTCTATGGATTGAAAGGACTGAAATGTTGACCTGCATTAGCACAGATTTTGACAGTTAACTGCATTTGCACAAATAAAAACCGATATGTTTAAGAAAACCAATGAGTGTTCTCCATTCATCGAGTGTATTACTGTATAAATACATAATGGTGAACCATTAATGGATCCTGTAGACCTCGTAGTATACAATGAAACCACAAGCCTAAAGGCAAAGTTGATTATGAAGATATCCAGGACCTAGAGATGGCATTATTTCCTCTTGATTCTATTGAATATATTACATCATTTGTTTATTATTAAAGGGGAACTGTGCTTCCAACGATTGTGATGTTATGTTTACTCAGCAGTATATATGACAAATATGTACTTTTGAGGTGTAAAATACAGCCTCTTATAGCTGTTTAGTAAATAGCTGCCTAATTTGATATCAGTATGTGGAGTTGTTATATTTATGACCCCCTATTTATAGATCCTAATAATGAAGCTATCTGCTTAACAGCCCCCTAATTTGGTATCCTTAAATATTGCAATTTCATGTATGGATATCAATTTAGGGTGTTAACTGCTAAATTGCAGAAAGATCAAAATTAAGAAAAAAAGCCCTATATTTAATTTTGCTCTTTCAGTTGTTAAAATAGAGAAATCCCTAATTTGCTATTCTTATAAAAAGTTTAAAAAAAAAATAAAATTTGTTTTGATTCGTTCCAAATTAGTTAGTTTTCAGCTTGTTACGGTTTGAAAAGACTTTGGAAATCCGATAGTTTCCAAATTCTGACAAAATTCGATACAGAATAAAACGAAATGCACAGATCTAAAAAATGTAATGCATCAAATAGAAACAGTTATATAATAGATGGCTTCATATACCTCACCAAGCTAAATACTGATCCAGTATTAAGAAAAAAATAGTATATCTTGGCGTTTCACATAATGGAATAAATGGTAAGACTACCATTACTATAAGCCATTCATATCCAAAGAACATCATGTACGTGACCTGGCATAAAACCTGGACCCATGAGTAAGGAAAAATTATTTGGTTATTTTCATGACTTTAAATTTAGAAAATGTCAAAATCTGTTAAACATGGCTTGATGTCCATATGAGCAATAATGTTAAGGAAATCATGAGGTCTGAAAATGTATCTGCATGGTAACATAATCCTTGGTTTAATCGCTGCTTAATCTGGATTTTCCTGTATTCCTGGATAGCAATAAACCTTTACACACAACTAAAAACATTGGACTACTCCAATCACCAGACCTAGACATTTGAGGATCTTTAGTAAATGCTTTGAGTGTGAAGTAGATATTCACCTACTACATATATCAAAGTACTGGAAGTTTTCTTCTTAAAAACTTGTAGTATTCCACTACATGGAATTCAGGACTTCTGTTTTCTAAAAATGATGGAACCTGCTAATAAAGCAAAGAGTGGCCCTTCTTCTAAGGTTTTTGGCATTCATATGTTACCCAATTTTTACATTATTTTCTCCAATATCTGTATATACACTGAACAAACTTATAAACACAAGTCTAAGGCACACCTGTGCAATAATCATTCTGTCTAATCAGCATCTTCATATGCCACACCTGTGAGGTGGATGGATTATCTTGGCAAAGGAGAAGTGCTCACTAACACAGATTTAGACAGATTTGTGAACAATATTTGAGAGAAATAGGCCTTTTGTGTACATAGAAAAAGTCTTAAATCTTTGAGTTCAGCTCATGAAAAATGGGGGCAAAAAACAAAAGTGTTGCGTTTATAATTTTGTTTAGTATATTTATCTATGTAGTATATATTAATCATGTGTTTTCCGTTCATTAAAGGGATGACTGTGAAAATTTTCAAACAAGGTTGTCTGTCAATTTTTCATTTCCTGACCATTGAGACAGTAAGCTAGCATTGCGTTGAATTGTGTTCTGTTTTTTTGCCGTGTTGAGAGAAATTGATCTAGCTAGTGACCCAAACACTTGGTGAATAAGAGAAAATTAATCTTTCAGCAGTTAACCACCGCAGATTTATTTTCTGCAACATTTTAGTTACTCTGGTTGTTTTTTTTGTGAAGTAACAGGAAAAGTAGTGTCAGTTTAGGGTAGGGTGGTTTTGATCTGTAAAACATACATATTTTAGAAATGGAAAAATAAAAATAGAATAAGTACACAGAAAGTAAAATATTTTCCAGTTCATTCAGAGCACTACTTTTATTTTCGTTTAAGTAAGTTGTGTTGTGTGTGTGTAAAATCCGAGCATTTCCCATCATAATCTCTAAACTTTAATAAAGTTTAATAAATCTTAGCTGAAATTATCTTGATGCTAATTTAACTAAGTAAGTGTTTTTTCAATAAGACTATTCCATCAAAGATTATTAGCTAGAGCCCATGCCATCCACCTCAGCTGCGTCTTCAGCTGCATATAGAAGCACTATGGGTCAGCTTTGAGAACCTAGGAAAGAAATGTTTGGCCTACCACCTAGCATGGACATTACTGTATTATATTCTAAAGTTCGAATAAATGGGAAAAGTAGTGTCAGTGCACTCTGAACAGTCAAAGAAGAAATTGGATAATTCAAAATGCAGTCATAGACTGTTTACAGGTGCAAGCACAACAACAAACATGCTAAGCAGTAGCCTTGGCAATTCAATGTAGCAGGAGCACAGCGACAGTACTCGATCCTACATTTGATGTTGAGCAGAAGCAGGTATAAAGGGCAGGGGAAAGAGTTGCATCATATCGATGGTGTGGGAAATAGGCAAAGGGACTCGCAGGGGAAAAGATTTTGCATATCTGACATGTACAGGGATATCAAATCATTTCTGTATGTGCCACAATTCTGTACTGTTGCAGAAGGCAAGTTTCAGTAGAGTTAGCCAGGGTTTAGTGTGGGTTATAGGTTTAGCAGCAGCTCCCTTTGCATGCGCCAAAAGTGAGGAGGGGGCACAAGCTCGCAAGCTAGCCAACAGAGTCAGTGGATGGTAATTACAATGTCAACATCAATGTGGCACTGTACATGTAAGCAACATGTCAAAACAGCAGTCAAATAATGTGACAAGATTGATAGGCCAGCTTATTACTGTTGGGGAACTTATTTTGTAATAGTAGTAGGGGAACAATTCAGATGCCTCATACAGACTCTAGCTCTCAATTACCATCTGCCTTTCTGATTAACATTGAGCAGGGAAGTAGCACCATCTCTGTACCATTCCTCTGCATATTTTTTAAAGGATGAACTACCTAAGGCAGGCAGACAGAGTGTGCATTTCACCACAGACATGTGGAGTGCTCCTAGTGTGCTGCTTGGTTTCTTATCCCTATCGGCACATTGGTGGCAACCAAATGTCCCTTGTGCAGCAGCAGGCACATCAGGTGGCACAAGCACTGAAAGTGTAGGATACAAACTTTTCTGCTACTTGGATCAGCAACACACCTCAGGTTGTCCATTTTATGCTCCAATGAATGTGAGTGTGATATCTGACAAAGAATGTAAACATTTTCTATTTTTATTTATTGATTATAAAATATTGCAGTATTTTATTTTTATTTTTTGTCTTATGTACACTGATCAGCAACAACATTAAAATATGCATCCTCTTGGTCCCTCTCGTACAGCCAAAACAGCTCTGCTGCATCGAGGCAAGGACTCCACAAGACTTCTGAAAATGTTGTGTGGTTTCTGGCACCAAAACATTAGCAGCAGATCCTTTAAGTCCTGCAAGGGAATCCAATTGAGCATCTGTGGGAAATATTAATTTTGAGATAGGTCCCATTTTATAAAATGTCTTTTTATTACCAGAATGTAAAAATTATATATGGTTTTTAACTGATTATTCTGTATCCTATATGCATAATTTATGATATATATTTATTGTTTTTTATTTCCTATTGATGAATATAACGTGTACTAATTTTGCTCAAATTAATATATATTTATTTCTTATTGCCCTATTTTATTGCTCTTGTATTTTTCCCTTTTCAAATATGGCATCTGTATGGATTTGATGCTATTATGGACCTGTTCGGACTTGCCCCTCCTTCCCTAATGAATGATGAACATGAGAGAACACGCCTCCGTACAGCTGCCGCAAATGGCGCCGTAATGACGAAACTGGAAATGACGACTTCCGGTGATGATGGAAAACCGGAAATGACGTATCGGAACAAGCCACAACGTGCAACCATGTTGTGATGCTCTTTGCTATGCAATGCAAACCATTCCTGAGCAATTATTGCAGTGTTACATGATACATTATACATTATACTGCTGATAGAGGCCACTGCCATCAGGAAACACCATTCCATTAATGGTTGTACGTGGTCTGTAACCATCTTTAGGTAGGCGGTACATGTCAAAGCAACACCCACAGGAAAACCAGGACCCAAGGTTTCCCAGCAGAACATTGCCCAGAGTATAACACTGCCTCTGTTGGTCTGCCTACTTCCCTTAGGGCATCCTGCTGCCTTTTCTTCTCCAGGTAAATGACACACATGCCCTCAGCCATCCACCTTGTCTAAAATAGAACGTGATTCATAAGACCAGAAAACCTTCTACCATTGCTCCAGGTCCAGTTCTGACACTCTTCTCACCAATAAAGGCATTTTCAAAGGTGGACCAGGGTCATCATGGACACTCTGACCGATCTGTGGATATGCAGCTCCATACACAGCAAACTGCAATGCACTGTGTGCCCTGATCCTTTTCCATGATGGCCAGCATCACATTTTTCAGCAATTTCAGCTACTGCAGCTCTTCTATGTGATTGTACCAGACAGGCTAGCCTTTGCTACCCACATGCATCAATGAGCCTTGACCCTAGGCGCCCTTGACCCTAATGCCGGTTGTCCTTCCTTGAACCACTGCATACCAGGAACACTCTACAAGACTTGCCGTTTTGGAGTTGATCTAACCCAGTAGTCTTGCCATCGCTATTGGGCCCTAGTCAAAATCACTCAGATCTTTCCACTTGCCCATTTTATCTGCTTCCACAACATGGAATTCAAGAACTGACTGAACTGACTGTTCGCTCGCTTCCTAATATATCCCACCTCTTGACAGGTGCTACTGTAATGATATAATCAATGTTATTCACTTCACCTATCAGTGGTTTTAATAATGTGGCTGATCAGTGTATGAGACTACATCCCCGTTAAGGTATAAGAGTAAATTCCTTTAAATTAGGTGATTATGGCTCCACTTTTTCTATTTTATATATGTTCACTTAGGATATATGTTTCTTTTCAGTGTTTGCTGGATATGAGTCTTAAGGGATATTTCCCCATGTGTGTAAGCAGCGGCTATTTCCTTTTTTTTTTTTTTATTGCTTTTCTTTCGCACTTATTGATTGATATTGTTTTGTTGCTTTTTTTAATATTTAGTTTTAAATATATTGCATTATTTTATAAATAAAATATATTCATGAGATTCTATTCTGCAAATCTCCTTTTCCATTAGTACAATGTTACATGGATATGATCCACAAGTGTTTCTAATCATAAATATTTTCATTTATTTATACTATAATTTTATTCTTCTGCAATGCTTATCTTATCAAATAAAAAAAAACAACAACAAATTCTTCAACTGCAGTGACAGTCTTTAATAGATTTTCAATGCATTAATTCCTAGAAATATATTTTTAAAATATACTAAATTCAATATAAATAAATCTAAAATCCATTTATCAAAGCTTTAAAGAACATATAATGAACCTTTTACTCAGCTGATGATTTAGTGGGTAGAGAGAATTCCGAAGATAGAAACATTTATCATCTTGTGTTATCTGTATGCTGAGAGACGCTTATCACAGTACAAAAAGGGCACAAAAAAGAGATGGGTGAATCAGCTTAAGCAGTTCCCTGCCAATTATTTTAGTGGCTAGAAATTCTGAGATGTTTAACACTAGTGAGTAGGAATGCATTATTAATACAGCGGAGCTCTCAATGCAAAAACCCATTAACCTGTGATCTCTAAACACATACAATGTACAATTTAAAAGGAAATATTTTATTTGTCTAACATAACTGGGGGTTAATTAAGATCATATGTGCACAGCTACGAATAAAAAGCTAGGAATTGTTTTATGAGTTGTTTTATAGAACAAGCATTTTATGTGAGTATTTGAAATACATCTAAATAGTCATGTACGAGTGCTGGAAAAATGTCAATACAATACTATACAATTGTGTATTAGACAAAAATATATAATGTACAGCACATCAAAGGTATGAACTTCCTAATCATGTGCCCCTAATCTTAAATACCCTATTTCCTCAATACTTGTATTTGTATCTTTGCCAATCCATTTTATTTACAGACCCCTGAAGGCAGGTGCACTTTAACCCTAAAGCCCCCTTAAAGGACCACTATAGTGCCAGAAAAACATACTTGTTTTCCTGGCACTATAGTGCCCTGAGGGTGCCCCACACTCAGGGTCCCACTCCCGCCGGGCTGGATGGCAAGGAAAGGGGTTAAACTTACCTTTCTTCCAGCGCCGGGCGGGGAGCTCTCCTCCTCCTCTCCGCCTCCGATCCTCCTCTTCGGCTGAATGCACGTGCGCATTCAGCCAGTCTCATAGGAAAGCATTCATAATACTTTCCTTTGGACGCTGGCGTCTTCTCACTGTGATTTTCACAGTGAGAAACACGCAAACGCCTCTAGCGGCTGTCAATGAGACAGCCACTAGAGGCTTTAGAGGCTGGATTAACCCATTTATAAACATAGCAGTTTCTCTGAAACTGCTATGTTTATAAAAAAAATGGGTTAACTCTAGCTGGACCAGGCACCCAGACCACTTAATTAAGCTGAAGTGGTCTGGGTGCCTAGAGTGGTCCTTTAAACATGAACACTCACAATCCATGAGCATAGCTGTGACCTTTGTACTATGTAGCACATATAGGACTGCATACACATTTAGTATCACATATTACATCATGTCTAAAAAAAAATTTCTGAATAAATATGCAAACCCAGATTTGCTGCAACCCATTTTTTGCACCTTCAAAGAGTATGTTGTTAGGAAGATAAATGGAAAATAGGGTACATGACATGCAGTTTTTTAAATGTTCCTAATAATCTTCTGATTGCACTTCCAGTGCATTCAAACAGCCAGTGAGAAGGGTGAATGAGGGGCATAAAAATTTGTCCTGGCACCTTTCCACGATGTAAAGATGTACAGATTGTACACACCAACAGTTTCAAACAATAAGTGTATACATGTTCAAAAATAGGCTGCTACTTAGCTCTCAACATCGTTTTGTGGTGGAAAGTTAGCAGTAGCTTCCTCAAGAGATCTTTCCATCAAGACAACCAAATAGATCTATTATAATAGCAAACAATACGGGGATACTGCTTAAATCTATATAAAAAAATATTTAAACACAATGGTTTCAAGTTACTCACAATGGTATATTGCCCCTGATGTCTTGGGGGCTAAAAGAACACCAACGATTGATGGACCTTGATCCTCTCCATATTTGCAGGAACTTTAGAAGGCAACTGGTTGTCTGAATTGTAGAGCAAAAGGAATTTATTTTGCTCTTTGGTTAACTTCTCTTTACCACATAAAGTCTCATTCTGTCATTCAACACAGCTCCTCTTTACAGAGTTATTCACATTCATGTAGACATGCACACATCAATATAATTATTTGTTTGGCTGCAAAAACAGTCTGCATCTGTTGGATGCGTAAATAAATGTATATTAATATCACATCATATAACTGCTTTTAATATTGTACAAATCAAAATAGCAATCACTATATCCCTTATCCCTACCAAAGCGTACAGCAATATAAAAGCTAGATGCTCCATCAATTTCTCAGCACTGTCATAAACATTCCACTATTGTAAAAAAAAGGTACCGTTTAATGGTTACTTTCAAATGGAGAAAGCGATGTGTATCAAAGTACAGACAAAGCCCAAGGACCATCAGAAAATGTAGTAATGCAGTCAGCACACAGGATTCTAAGTTGTACTGAAAAATAAAGTCTCCACTAGTTTCATGAAGCTTTACATAACTTTGTACAAAGGCTGCTAGTTCACACTGTTGGATATATAAACACCACAGGAAAATCATGGCGATAAAACAATAGCATTAAGTCAACGTATCCCTTGAGGGCTCAAAGTTTCACTTCACATCACATCATCAGTCAGTGAGCTGATAATTGGTCACTACTACAAAGATCCCAGACTGAGTTTACTAGCTTCTTTATTTTTTATTGTGTCTTCTTACAAGAGGAGAAAATCAGGCACAAACCGGTAAGCAAAAAGGCTTTATTCTACAGAGTGACTGCCAGATGCATCAAAATGTTAATCAACATCTGTTCATCCTCAGCTTAGTTTGTTAGTTATCATTTATTTCACATTAAAGGCATCTATTTTTTTTTTGCTTTAAACTGTATTTACTTATAAGGTGCAGTCAATGCATTTTTTATATTGCTTTATAATAGAGCCTTACGAAGTACTCAGATTGATTTAATTTGAAAATGCTTTTAAAATACGTTATTCAATTTTAAATGTTACAATCAGATGTATAAAGTAACGTTTTTGTGGAATTATGTAAACAAATATGAGAAATTTGAATAAATTATATTAACAAATATATTGTATAGAGAATCTCCAAAGGTCCATATGAAACTTTTAGCAAGCAAGTACATAAAGTTATAGTTATTCCTGCTTTAGCACAGATCAGTTTGTTGGCTTGGTAAAAAAGTAAAATGTTTTATACAAGCAGCTTTAAGTAGTAGGTAGAACTCTAGTAAACATTAATCAAACCTGGTGGAAATTTGCCATACAGATCATTCACATAAGTTACTGATATTGGCACACTTGTTGACAGCCATAGAAAAAAAATATATAAAATATACTATATTAAAACATCAAATTGTACCTGTTGTTAATCCTCAAAAAATCATTGAGTGATTAAAAAGGAAAAAAAAAAAATATTTTCTGCATATAAAAACCATTATATTATTATTTGCTATTTTAAATGTGCATTTCCTTGTTTGCTTAAGCAAAACACCAAAAAGCAAAACAGCATTCTTATTAGATTTTTATTGAATTTAACAGAAGTAATTACCCTAAAAAAGAATTCCAGTTATGCAACAAAAATATAAAGGGATATGGAGAAATACCTCACTATATTGAATATGTGTCATAGATGTGCAGGTGTTTTTGAGAAGGCAGGTTCCA